ATCCCGCAGCACCATCTGCCGGCTCTGACCACGGCTGTGCTGGCCCTGCCGGTGTCCTGCAGCCCTCAGCTCTGCTGCTCGGCTTTAAACACTGCTCGGGACCAGCCGAGACTGAGCCCAGCGCCGCGGTTGCACTGGAGGGCAGCCAGCGGCAGAGACGCGTTTGCACCTTCTGTGGCCGCTCAAAACACTGCGAGTGAGTCACCAGGAGAACTCCCCCGACGTCCTGCGCAGCTCGGGCTCGGAGAAGGGGATGTGGAAGGGAAGAGCAGCCTTCCGGATCTGATTCTCCACTGACAATTTGCTTTTGACAGGGGTTGAAATCATCTTTGGAACGAAATCTAGATTCTAAGGACAGTGAACTTTGTCCTTCAGCAAAGCTGTACGAGTGCCGGGGCGAGAGTTTTCTTCATGTTCTCCCACCCATGAGAAATACTGACAGCGGGTTTTTAACAAGACTGTGCCCCAATACCCAAAGGAGCACATTAAACGATGCCCAAATGGGATGTTTCAGAAGGAAACTGAGAGGACTGTCCCGCCCTTCCCAGCTTGCAGAGGGCTCTGTGAAAACAGATTGACCCTCCTCTCTTTCCATGGGTAGGGAAACTGAGGCACAGAGCAGTGACATGGCACTGGCCAGCAACGCCAGGCTCCAGCCTCTCACTCTGGCTCATTGCTCAGCAGACCACAATCACTCTCTGTTAAACCAGATGTGACCCTGCTTCACATTCACATCCTCTCTCTCCTTTGCTTTCACTTCCTTTCAAGGCAGGGAAGAGCTGGGACAGTGCGCACCACTCCTCACCACTCGCCACCTCTTGCCTTACGAGCTGCTGCTTTTTTTCTTTTTTTCTTTCTCCTTTAAGGTAAACACTGAGTTTTAAAGTCCCAGATAAAAACTCTCCTCCACACCTCCTGGCACAACAGCAGAAGTAAGGAAAGAAGAATGAAAGAGTGGGATGTTGATGCCTCGACGTACCTCCCGGCCCACCAGCACCACTCCCACGCCAGCTCCAGGAGCCCCGAGCAGGGACACGGGCAGGGCTGCCTGCAACGAGGCTGCTTTTTCCTCCCTGCCAGCGTTTTACAGCCCTACCAGAACAAAGGTGGCTGTCGCTGATGTTGACTCACACGATAAGATCATTATTGCGGGATATTGTTTCTTCTGCATCTGTGTGTCACTTAGAAATTATTTTTTTTTTCTCTAGAAAATTTGTTCTCCTCCCCTCCACCCTCAATGGGAAAAGGGAATCTGTGCTCAACTCTGCAGCTGAGATTGCAGATAGACCGTTCCCTTCCTGATCCTTATCTCACCAGGATGTAGGAGGACCCTTGGGGAATAGCTGGAAGCCTCTCGCTGGAGCCATCCAAAAAACGAGGAGCAAGCTGACTACAGCCTTTAAATGGCAAATCCATCAAGTGCTCAGGGACCAGGATCTGAAACGCTGTTTAACCCCTCAGACTACGACACCCCAGGCACACAGCCCGACCTGCCAGGGCACCGGCTCCCCCTCAAGTCGCCTTCTCCACAGGGCTCTGCGGGCACCACCGCGTCAGCTAAATACCACGATCTAAAAATACACCTTTCAATCCTAATCTAAACCAAAGCCTGAAGTTGCTGGCTCACAAAACTTACTCCAGCTGCAACCCGCTCACAGGCGGGGAGTTTTCTGT